TGGCAGAGATTTTTGGGAGAGGTGCAATGGTTTCGTCCTTCTCTTTCTATGAAAACAGGGGCTCTTAAAGCGCTTTATGATATTCTTCCTGGGGATCCTGCTCCAACGTCCCCTAGACAGATTACCCCAGAGGCCAGGGAAGCCCTACAATTGTTGTTAAGAAGTATAGAGCAAGCCCACCTTCGGCGTATAGATTATGGGCAGCCCCTTGTTCTGGTTGTACTTTCATCTAGCTTTTCGCCCACTGCCGTGTTTTGGCAGACTGGTCCTATTTATTGGGTACATTTGTCAGCCTCCCCTAAGAAGGTAGTGACCCCTTACTATGATCTCATTTTACAATTGTTGTGGAAGGCACACAAGTTTAGCATTCAAACCTTTGGAAAGAGTCCTGATAAAATTATCCTTCCTTATGGTAAGGAGGAGGTGGAACATCTACAGATCTTCCATGATGGGTGGACCCTGTTTATTACATCTACAGGCGCTCAGTTTGATAACCAATATCCCAACAGCCCCTTGATGTCTTTTTTCAAAAAACACCCTGTGATCTTTCCCAAGATTTTAAAGGAGAACCCTCTAGTTGGAGCTCGCTCAGTCTTTACAGACGGCTCCTCCAAGGGTTTCGCGGTGGTGGTTTCTTCTCAGGTGCAGAAGAGGGTACCCATAGGGCAGATGTCAGCACAAGCCGCTGAGTTGTTTGCTTGCTTGATGGCTTTCCAAATGTTTGAGGGAGAGCCCTTTAATTTATATACTGACAGTGCTTATGTTGCCAACATTGTTAGACCTTTAGAAACTTCTCCATATGTTCTTCCAACCTCCCAGGTTCGTTCCTTATTAGTTCAGCTCCAACATCTTATTTGGCAGCGCATCCACCCTGCTTATGTGGGATTTATTCGTGCACATACTAACCTTCCAGGACCCCTTGCCCAGGGCAATCAAATTGCTGACTCCTTGACCCGCCCTAGGGTCTTATTTACTCAGGAGCAGCTTGCCCACCAGCTCCATGATAGGTATCATCTAAATGCCCGCTCCATTAAATTTCACACTGGGTGCCCCTTATCCATAGCTACACAGATTACCTCTCAGTGCCCTGATTGTGCTCCTTATCATAATTCTCCCAATGAGGGGGTAAATCCCCGGGGCCTCAGGGCCAACCATCTCTGGCAAATGGATGTCACTCACCTGCCGCAGGCAGGAAAATTAAAATACATGCATGTTTTGGTGGATACATATTCTAAACTGATTTTTGCCTCTCTCCACTCAGGAGAGAAAATTAAAGATGTTATTTCTCATTGCCTGCAGGCCTTTGCCTACATGGGCGTTCCTGATGCCCTAAAAACGGACAATGGCCCTGCCTATGCCAGCAATCGCTTTGCTGCCTTTTGCAGGGAACATCACATTGTCCATTCTTTTGGTATTCCTCACAACCCCACGGGACAGGCTATTGTGGAGCGCACCCATGCCACTCTCAAACAGTATTTTAAGAAAATAAAAAAGGGGGAGTATGTTACCTCCCCCAATATTCAGTTATCCACCATACTTTACATTTTAAATTTTTTGACCATAGACCATAATAATTTGTCTGCTATGGAGAGACATTGGAACAAACCCTCCCAGTCCTTGGGATGGGTCAGATGGAAGGACTTAATTACAGGAAAATGGCAGCCACCCACCCCCCTATTAGCTAGGGTCCGAGGGGCTGTTTGTGTTTTCCCTCCAGGAAGTGAGAAGCCTATTTGGGTCCCCGAACGGTGCATCAGGCATGTCGACCCCAATACTACTCCGGATACTAGGAATGCTCACCATGATAAAGATGATCCAACCATTGTTGAACACTCAGGTAAGGGAAATATGGGCGTTGGTGAGGATTCCCCCATGTTGATGCCAGTTAGTCATTCCAGCTCCCTGTTCATCAAATTTTATAACACCAATAATACATTGGGAGCGGCTGCCGCCAATGAGATTAAAAAGTCAGAAACTAGACATTCTGAGTTTCCCCCTCCTAAGCCTGATACCAGGGTCAGAAAGTAGGGGAATCCAAGAGATTGCCAGCGGCATACGCCTTTAATACCAGCGGCATCCGCCTTTAATCCCAACACGCCTTTATGAGGGAACATCCTGGGTTGAAAGTTGGATTGAAAATGGGTGAATAGCCGGGCGTTGGCAGCACACGCCTTTAATCCCAGTACTCGGGAGACACAGGCAGGCAGATCTCTTGAGTTCAAGGCCAGCCTGGTTTATAGAGCAAGTTCCAAGACAGCCTCCAAATAATACAGAAAAAAAAATTGGTAACAAGCTGGGCGGTGGTGGCACACGCCTTTAATCCCAGCACTTGGGGAGGCAGAGGCAGGCGTATCTCTGTGAGTTCGAGGCCAGGCTGGACTGACAGCCTCAAACAATACAGAGAAACCCTGAAAAAAAAATGGGTGAAACAAAAAATTTGTAACAGTAAAAAGGTACTGGTATTAAGTAAAGAAAAAGAAAAAGACAAAGGTATATAGAATGGAAAATTTTGTTTACCTTTAAGTTCTATTTTGTGAGTCATCTCTAAAAACTTTTGGCCAAAAGCTTGGCCTCTCTACCTTGCATCTACAGTTACAAGGAGTAGGTACAGCTGTACCCCATGACTGTAGCTCAAATGGAGGAATGATAAAGAACATACAGGACTTTTTAACCTTTTAGTTCAAGGATTGGCTGGAGTTGTTCTTTTACATAGATTTCAATTAAGGTAGCTTCATTGCAACAGACTAATCATGACCTAGGGAAAAAGGATGACTGAAAGATGCATGTATGTTCTGAATGTATGGTGTGGCCACACCGGTATGTATGAAATCTGATTGTGAATGCGTGAGTGTGAACTGCTTATATGATTAAAAGGATACTTAAATCCCTTCAAAAATAGTTAAGAAGCTACCTAGATTGCTTGAAATATAGACAAAAGGAACATCCAACCAGTCTGTTAATGTTTTAACAGAAAAATTTAAGATACAAATGAGGCCTTGTCAGCTAGTGAGAGCTCTACAGGTTAGATTGGGAAAGACTGCTCACAGACTTCAAATAATTTTCAAAAGTTATTTGGACACAGTATAGCTTACAATCTTTGAGTGATTTTCAGAAGTTTTTGGGAAATATTTAATGGATATGTCCTTTTTAATGGGCATCTACAAATAATCTAAGTAGTAATCCCAATTTACCTAGATAGTTAACCAAGGAGGGTAGACAAATCCTTCTACTGTTATGGTTCAGCTTCAACAGTTCAAAAAAGAAAATTTTGTTAGAAAATAAAAAGGGGGGAATAATGTCCCCAGTCCCCACATGACTCATCAAATAATACACTCCTCATTTAAAAATTTTATAATGTGAATGCCAGGGAGCTTCAGACAGATTCTGGCATGATGGAACTTGAGCAACTATTGCTCAGGTCAAATGGAGACATCCATGCACTAAACAGTGGAGAAGACCCTAATTTGGGGTCGAGGGCATGTTTGTGTTTTCTTGTAGGAAAAGAATAAAAGCTTCGACATGGAGCAGAGAAAAACTGGACCTGAGTCCATGGGAGCCTACCTAAGCCAGTTTGAGTGAGATCTCCTAAATCAGTGTTCCTGAACCTTGCTGTCATCGAATCTAGAGCCCAAGAAAGAAAGAAAACAGTCGGTTCGAGATTTCCAGTTTCTCAACAGACCTGCTGCATCAACCTTCCGGACCCATGAGTTTTCATCATGAAGCCAATAGAGAAAAAAGGACCCATTTAAAACCTTTGGACATTCGTATGGACTGTGATGAGGGGCAAAAGCCTCTTTTAAGTAATTGAACAGGACATGGTCACTTGAAATATCAGACTTGATGGTTCCTGTTTCTGGAATCACGACTAGGCCAGTGTATTTTTCTAGAGAGGTGCAACTTGTCCTAATGCGACAAAAAGGAGACTTTGACTCAAGTCGCATAATCAGCTGACGTTAAATCAACAAACTGCATCACCACAGGAACAAATTGGTGCTCTGTGGATAGTGCAACAAGCCTATTGTTCATATTTTTCATAATGCTACATGTGTAACATCAATGATTGTACCTAATGTATCTGTGCAAGTGCACTTTCTAAATGCTTTCCTGAGCAGATCTTGGAACAATTGTAAACTTCATCAAATTGTAAATGTAAATCACATGCGGGTTACCCTTGTAACAGAATGTAAATCACGTGTGGGTTACCCTTGTAACAGACGAAGGCTGGTAGAATGTTATGGCCCAGATCTGGTGATGGGTACGGTGATGGAGAGGCGCTATGTCAATGGGGGTCCTGGGAATGGTGGCAGTGGCGGTAGGCATTCTGGCTTTATGCCGGGCTCAAACGTGCCTTGTTCCAGAGGCAAGAGATCTGTAACCAAGTATTGCTTAGCCTAGCCCATGGCAATCCCGATAGCCATGAAGGTTGGTTACAGATGATTTAAAGTTGGGGTGCTCTGATGACGGGCCACCTGTGGGGAAGACCCCTCCCGCCTAAGACAGGGGTTCAAGGTCCCCCAATGACGGGAAAGGGAGGGTGACCCTACTTGACCTAAGCCAGGAGTGCCTCATTTAAAAATAAAAAGGGGTGAATTGTGGGAACACCAGACCTTGAGCAGAGACCCACTTCCCCTTCTGCCTGGGAGTTGGCAGCTGTAAGACAATGTTTACTAAAAACATGTTTACTAAAAACAATACAATGCCTGGGGGCATTAAGTTCCTGGAAAAGGCCTGCCCGCAGAAACCACCCTGAGCTCGACCTTGTCCAGAGACTAACCGCCTCTTCTGCCACGCCCAGATCAGTTTCTGGGGTCAGAGCAGAACCAGCCAGGGTAGAGGAGAGAGCAGAAGCTTCTCTGGTGGGAGCCTTTCTTGGGAAGTTTTCTTGAACCTTTTTGTGGCCTGCTTAAAGTTTTCTTTACATCGTTGAACGAGTCTCTGTGTTGTCAATCCCCGACACCCTCCGCACGTTCTCAGACACAGGCCGCGCAGCAGACGTGACAGTGCTCAGCGGGAGGTATGGGTGAAGAAGCATTCAGTTAATCACCGCCCTGGAGACCTCAGGAATCCGTTCCTGGAGGGAGCAGAGAAGGCAGGTTGCTAGGAGAAAAAAAATAGATTATCGCTGCAAGCTCTAAGAATGGGGCTAGCCTTGGGAAAAGTGAAGATTGCGAGGAAGATGGGATGGAGATGTGCCCCGGTCGTATTGGTGAAGGTCTTCAGACAATTTGTAAAGCGACTTGATAATTAGTTTCTGCCAGGCCAGAATCACTGATAACAGTAACAGCACTCTTTCCCAGAGCATGCAGGTGTCTGTAAAACAGCTGGAATGGATTTACACCTAGGTGTGTCATAGCAAAGTCTATGGCTTTGAGTTAAAAGACTTGAACATTTTCCCTACATCTAGAGAGCCTGGTTTTAGCCCTTTGGAAGGCACCTTTGAGTTTATACTGAGAAAACAACCAAAGGAAATTCAAAATCTTGAGCTCGAGATTGAGTGCTCTGTCTCTTTATCAGATCTTCATCAGTGCTAAGACTCTGGGCCCCTGAAACCCCAGTGTAACAATAGCACAGAAAGGACACAGAAGTGAGAAATATCTTTATACACCTTAATTATACCTTTACAGGTTGCATTTATACATCCGAAATCATTTTCTGTGTTTCTTCAGTGGAAAGTCACGTCGGAAATCCGTTTGTCCTTTACTATGAAGCCTGTGAACAGGGCAAACCTGTTCGTATTTTTTTTTTGTTTTGTTTTTTTTTCGAGACAGGGTTTCTCTGTTTTGTTTTGGAGGCTGTCCTGGAACTCGCTCAGTAGACCAGGCTTGGTCTCGAACTCACAGAGATCCACCTGCCTCTGCCTCCCGAGTGCTGGGATTAAAGGCGTGTGCCACCAACGCCTGGTACCTGTTTGTATTTTTAACAAGAAACTTGACTAATGAATTAACTACATGAACTAACTAATGAGCTGACTACAACAAGGTGGTTGTATAGCCTTGGGGGGAGGGAGGGAGAGATGCTGTTAAACAGGAGGAGCTAACGCTAGTCTACTTGTCAAATACCATCAGATCTGAGAAGGGTACAGTTCACCTGAGTAAGCAGAAGTGCAGATCAGGCAGCTTTTGAACCTACTAAAAACAACAGGGACTTACTGGCTACCTGGAAAGCTACCCCAGGTCCCTCCATGGTCCTTGGGAGAGAGGTCCCAGAGCGGCATCAGTCTGCAGCAGCCTGGCCCAGAGGATTTGACAAGACTTTCCCGTGGAGCAGGAACCTAAGGGGACCAGCATACCTTGTCTAGGCAAAGCTGGGTAATCAACGCCCCAGTGTCCTGCATGTCCACTGTGTGGACAGGTTCTTGGCAGCAGCTGAGGTGAAAGGGAGTGTTGTAATGAAAGAAAAGCAGTGTTTGAGAGAAAGATGCCATTCGACAGGGTTCAAGCAGAGGGTTGGGTTTTTTTTTTTTTTTTGGAGGGGGGCACGAGGGAGCATAAAAAAATACGGGAAAGGGAAGAGGTGAGACCGGCCTCCAAAGGCAGGAGCAACAGGAGATATGAGAAAGGAAAGAGGGGGAAGGAAAGGAAAAAGGAGGAGACAGAGAGGGGAGCAGACTGGGAGAGGGGGAGAAGGATGGGAAGTGGGCGGGGCCCTTTTAAAAGGGAACCTGGTGAGTGTGCACAGGTGCTCTTAGTGTCTGCAGCTGAGGGCATGTCCTGTCAGAACCCCAAGGACAGGCCAGTACAGATGCCTGAATACTAACAGGTGTTTTTTTTTTTCTGCCCTGTGGCTCACTTTGCCACATTTAAAACAAGCGACAGGTGGATCCTGCCAGAAGCTGGCACGTCTCTATCACGAAAAGCTTTTTTGCTAAACATACGAAATGCCTTATTCTCAGATCTCTGAAGTGTTTGAGGATCATTATCTGTTAAGTATTTCTAAACTAGGCAAATACTGCTTGTCTCTAATTACTTGTTTTGGGCTTAACTTTGAAAACATATACGAGCAGCTAAATCTGAGCACATCAAAGAATCTGATCCTCTATGGGGTGGCTATTAACTAGGATTGTACAGCCTTGTCCCTGTTAAGTTCAGCCTTAAAAAAATTAACAGTTTCTGAATTGAAAGCTCTTTTAATGTCAAGTTAAGAGTCGCAGTCCACAAAGAGATTGGGAACTTCACTGACCCTTTTATAGGACAGCATTACAGAACCTAACAGTGGGCATAGAGGAAACTACCCAAATCCCCGGGGCAAGGGAGAAAAAGATGGAAGAGACAAGCATTCAAGGTCATCCTCCACCACACTGCAAGTCTCGGGTCAGCCTGGACTACATGAGGCCACGTCTCAAAAAGGGGAGAGAGAGACAAAGAGAAGGAGGAAGAGGAACAGGAACAGGAGAAGCCGGCAAGAAGGCCTAGCAAGTAAAGGCACGTGCTGCCCAGACAAAACACCTGGGGTCGATTCCAGGACCTACATGACAGGAGAAGAAAACTGACTCCACTGCTCCCTGGCACGCACACGCCTGAACTCACATGCATCAAACCTGAGCAGGCGAGGTGGTGCACGCACGCGCGCACACACACACACACACACACACACACACACACACACACACACACACACAGTGTAAATTTGTTTCTTTGTTTTTATTCAGGTTAGAAACACTCTTATTTTATATATCAATCCCAGATCCCTCTCCCTCCCATCCTCCCATCCTCCATCCTCCCATCCTCCCATGGCCCCCCATCCCTCTTCTATTCCATAGAAAGGGTGAGGCATTCCATGAGACAATCATCAAAGTCTGTCCCATCATTTTGGGCAGGGCCTAAGTCCTCCCCCATATGTCTAGGCTGAGAGAGTATCCGTTTATGGACTCCCAATGTCCATTCTTACACTAGGGATGAGTATTGTTCCACTAACAGAGGTCCCATAGACTTCCCAGGTCTCCTAACTGACACCCACGTCCAAGGGGCCTGGTTCTGTCCTATGGTGGTTTCTGAGCTGTCAGTCTGGGGTCCATAAGCTCCCCCTTGTTCAGGTCAGCTGTTTCTGTAGGTTTTCCCAGCATGGTCTTGACCTCTTGGTTCGTCACTCCTCACTCTCTACAACTGGGTTCCAGGAGTTCGGTTTAGTGTTTAGCTGTGGGTGTCTGCTTCTGCTTCCATCAGCTACTGGATGAAGGCTCTAGGATGGCATAAAAGGCAGTCATCAATCTCATTATAGGGGAGGGGCATTTAAGGAAGCCTCTTCACTATTGCTTAGAATCTTAGTTGGGGTCATCCTTGTGGATCCCTTGACATTTCTCTAGTGCCATATTTCTCTTTAAACCTATAATGGCTCCTCTATTAAGGTATCTCTTTTCTTGCTCTCCTCTAGTCTTCCCCCGACTCAATCTTCCTGGTCCTTCATGTCTTCTTCCCCCCTCCTCTTCTCCCCTCCTCTTTCTCCTAACTCCCTCTCTCCTCCGTCCATGCTCCCAATTTGCTTAGGAGATATCTTGTCCCTTTCCCCTTTTCTGGGGGATCATGTATGTCTCTCTTAGGGTCCTCAATGTTTCCTAACTTCTGTGGAGGTGTGGGTTATAGGATAGTAATCCTTTGCTCTATGTCTAGTATCCATATATGAGTGAGTACATACCATGTTTGTCTTTTTGTGACTGGATTATTTCACTCAGGATGGTTTCTTCTAGTGCCATCCATTTGCCTATGAATTTCAAGCTTCCATTTTTTTTTCTGCTAAGTAATACTCCATTGTGTAAATGTACCAAATTTTCTTTATCCATTCTTCAATTGAGAGACATTTAGGTTGCTTCTAGGATCTGGATATTACACATAATGCTGCTATGAACAGAGTTGAACAGATGTCCTTGCTGTATGAATGTGCATCCTTTGGGTATATGGGTAAGAATGGAATTGCTGGGTCTTGTGGCAGACTGAATCCCATTTTCCTGAGGAACCACCATACTGATTTCCAAAGTGTCTGTACAAGTTTGCACTCCCATCAGCAGTAGAGGAGTGTTCCCCTTTCTCCGCATCCTCTCCAGCATAAACTGTCCTTGGTGTTTTTGATTTTAGCCATTCTAACAGGAGTAAGATGGTATCTCAGAGTTGTTTTGATTTGCATTTCCCTAATGGCTAAGGATGTTGAGCACTTCTTAAGTGTCTTTCAGCCATTTTAGATTTCTCTATTGAGAATTCTCTTTATTTCTGCACTCCACTTTTTAATTGGATTGTTTAGTGCTTTGGTGGCTAGCTTCTTGAGATCATTGTATATATTGGAAATCAGCCCTCTGTCAGATGTAGGGTTGGTTAAGACCTTTTCCCATTCTGTGGGCTGCTGTTTGGACTTGTTGACTGTGTCCTTTGCCTTACAGAAGCTTCTCATTTTCCGGAGGTCCCATTTATTAATTGTTGATCTCAGTGTCTATGTTACTGGTGTTATGTTCAGGAAGCATTCTCCTGCACCAATTCATTCAAGAGTACTTCCCACTTTCTCTTCTAAGAGGTTCAGTGTGGCTGGATTTATGTTGAGGCCACCTATGTAAACTATCATATCATCTGCAAATAGTGAAAGTTTGACTTCTTCCTTTCTAATTTGTATCCCCTTGATCTCCTTTTGTTGTCCTATTACTCTGGTTAGAACTTCAAGTACAATATTGAAGAGATATGGAAAGAGTGGGCAGCCTTGTCTTCTTGATTTTAGAGGAATCACATTGAGTTTCTCTCCATTTAGTTCGATATTTCCTGTTGATTTGCTGTATATAGCTTTTACTATATTTAGGTATGTTCCTTTTATCCGTGATCTCTCCAGACCTTTAGCAAGAAGGGGTATTGGATTTTGTGAAAGGCTTTTTCAGCATCTAGTGAGATGATCATGTGGTTTTTCTTTTTTAGTTTGTTTATATCATGGGTTACATTGATGGATTTTCATACGTTGAACCATCCCTGCATCTCTGGGATAAATCCTACTTGATCGTGGTGGATGATTTTTTTGATGTATCCTTGGATTTGATTTGCCAGTATTTTATTGAGTATTTTTGCATCAGTGCTCATGAGGGAGATTGGTCTGTAGTTCTCTTTCTTAGTTGTGTCTTTGTGTGACTTGGGTATCAAGGTAATTATAGCCTTGTAGAAAGAGTTTGGCAATGACCCTGATGTTTCTATTGCACGGAACAGCTTGAGGAGTATTGGTATTAGCTCTTCTTTGAATTTCTGGTAGAATTCTTCACTGAAACCATACGGTGTGGGCTTTTTTTTGGTTGGGAGACTTTTGATGACTGCTTCTATTTAAATTGCTTATCTGTTCTTGACTTAATTTTGGCAAGTGATATCTATCCAGAAAATTGCCCATTTCCTTTACATTTTCAAATTTTGTGGAATACAGGTTTTCAAAGTATGACCTGATGATTCTCTGGATTTCCTCAGTGTCTGTTGTTATGTTCCCCCTTTTCATTCCTGATTTTATTAATTTGTGAGTTCTCTCTTTGTCCTTTGGTAAGTTTGGATAAAGGTTTGTCTATCTTTGATTTTCTCAAAGAACCAACTCTTTGTTTCATTGATTCTTTGTATTATTTTCCTTGTTATACTCTATTGATTTCTGCCCCCAATTTGATTATTTCCTGCCATCTACTACTCTGAGGTGAGTTTGCCTCTTTTTGCTCTAGAGCTTTCACATGTGCTGTTAATTCTCTAGTGTGACTATTCTCCAGTTTCTTCATGTGGACACTTAGTGCTATGAACTTTCCTTTTAACACTGTTTTCAAAGAGTTCCATAAGTTTGGGTATGTTGTGTCTTCATTATCATTGAATTCTTGTTGGACCCTTTCCCCCGTTGGGATCTACTGACCAGTTTGTGACTAGGAACTTATCTAGCAAATACTTCTTGTTCCCCCTCCTTCCAATAAAGCCTGAACACAAGTTTCTGTTATCTGTCCATCCTTATTGCCGGAGGACCCTGGGAACGTGAACTTCTGACCTTAGTAGTTTTCCACTGTGCCTGCTAACTGGTATATAATGCTCCCTCTTGTTGCAATAAACGGCATTCTCCTTGCAAGAATGACTCCCTGTCTCTTGTCTTTATTTCAATCTTCAGGCCCTCGCCCAAATCCATGAAGAGTGTTGTAACCTGGGTGCTACAATTCTAGGAAGCATTTAATTTCTTTTTTTATTTATTCCTTAACTCAGGAGTGGTGCAACTGCACATTGTTCAATTTCCATGAGTTTGTAGGGTTTCTGCATTTTGTGTTGTTGAATTCTATCTTTAAACCAGGGTGATCTGATAAGATACAGGGGGGTATTCTGATTTTTTTGTATCTGTTGAGGTTTTCTATGTTGCCAAGTATGTGGTCAATTTTAGAGAAGGTTCCATGTGGCGCTGAGAAGGAGGTATATTCTTTTGTGTTTGTATGGAATGCTCTGTACATGTCTGTTAAACCCAATTGGGTCATAACTTCTGTTAGTTCCTTTGTTTCTTTGTCAAGTTTATGTCTGGTGGTCCTATCTAATGATGAGAATGTGGGTGTTGAAGTCTCCCACTATAAGTGTGTGAGATTTTATGTGTGATTTGAGTTTTAATAATGTTTCTTTTATGAATGTGGGT